AGAGCACCCTCGCAGCTCTTTTCTGGGCTCGCCTTCCCTTGGCCCCACCGACCCCCCCCTAAAATAGGCGGGACTGATAGAGGTTGTTCCGTAGAGTTGGTTGCTTAGTTATCGTTCCCTGCGCGGGGTGGAGTGGGGAACCGCTGCCTTACTTCCTTTAGCAAAAACAGCCACAGAATTATCGCCTGAACTTTCGGGGTCGTGGTCCATTTCTGGGATCTTATGCAGCGACTAGATTCTTAAAACTTTGATCTTAGGGATACCTGGGAGATATTTGCATTGAATATCTTACTGGTGTCACTAACGCTAACCATACCTATAGGTTGGATAACACCATTCAGTCTTCTTTAGAGTGCTTTATGGCTTCAACGTGGATCTTGTGATCTTCCCCAGTATTGCCAAGGTTGTAAAATACAGGTACAGGTAGCCCTCAGGGTACGACCACTTGTTCAGTGACTGTTCAAAGTTACAGTGGCACTGAACGAGGGGGACTTAGGACTGGCCTCAAAGTTGTGGCTACCACAGCACCCCCAGGGTCATGTGATTGTAATTTGAGCACTTGGCAACCAACTTGCAATTATAACAGTTGCAGTGTTCTGAGGGCATACGATCTCGCCACTTGTGACTTTCCCTGCTGGCTTCCCACAAGCAAAGTCAACAGGGAAATTGGCAACAAGTCACTCCCCCTCCAGCTGCTTTTTGGCCCACCCACCCATACTCCATAGCGCCCAGCCGGGGCACCTCCCCGCCTATAGCTCTCACCTGCTAGCCTGCTTGCCTGGATTTCTGCCTCTTCCCACCAGTCCTCGCTTAATGACCTACACGGTCCTTGGTTAATGATCTATGTGGTCCTCACTTAGCTAGGGGGACTGCTGGGATTGCCATCACTAAGTGATAATGATCATGTGACATTGTGCTTTATGACTGCATTGCTTAGCCACAGAAATGCCAGTCCCAATTGCGTTGTAACCTGAAGATTACCTGTAGTCCTCACTTACTGACTGCAATTGTGACTGGCAAGTCTGTTGCTAAGTGACACAGTCGTAAAGTGAAATGTCATGTGTCTGCGACTTGCGACTTCCAGCCAGCTTCCCCATTGACTTTGCTTGCCAGAAGCTGTCTGTGAAGGTCACAAATGGCAATCATGTGACTGCAGGACGCTGTGACTTGTAAATGCCTGCCGGTTGCCAAGCACCCAACACAATCAAGTGATTGCGGGGATGCTGCAACAGCCACAACTTCAAGGGCCAACTGCAAGTCTCCTTTTTCAGTGCTGTTGTAACTTCAGTTGCTGAATGACTGGTTGGTAAGTGAGGACTACCTGTAATATAAATATAGAGCATTAATATAAAGGATCTAGGAAAGAATTGGAAAAGGGAGACAAAGTTCTATGATACAATCCTGTTTCTTGCAAAAGTTGAGGCACAGTTTACATCTATTAAATTCTGATAAAATTCATCCACAACAGAAATATCATGAACACTGGATAGATTGGACACCCTGCTGTCTTTATAAGAATTGTGGAAAAATTCAAAATAGACAGCTCTCCTTAAACCTCCCCACTTCTCCAAATAGGACTGATACTACCTCACAAACTGGGATATGAAGCGGTCTTGCCCAGAGACCATCAAACTCATGGTTGTCACTCTAGCCAGCAGAGATTTCAGGCATCTTAGTCAGGTTCTACCTAAGCACAGAGATTGAACCTTCTGTGTTGATATGTAAAAGGTATGCTTGCTCTAAACTGAGGCACCTCTCCTAGATAGTCACATTATAGGAGAATGATGATTTGTGGCAAGACAGCCTATGTTACGGCCTTTGGATGACTGTGAGGAAGTCAAGCAGAGGTACAGCTCCCAGAATTCCTTATTGCCAGAATTGCTGTGAGTTGTAGTTTGGTAATATCTGCTGGGTCACAATGGCAGAAACACTTGATAATTAAGATTTCTCTTATATAGGACGTGTTTGCACTGGGCATGCAAGCGTAACCACACTCATATAGTTGCATACCTGCTGGACTGTGGAGCTGATAAGGGGATTTTTACAATTAATAGAGAGCTGGCAGCACATCTGACTTCAAAAAAAGAAATCAGAAAACTTCTTGGAGGTACACTTGATAACTTGAATTTATCTTTCTAAAAATATACAATGGATTTGCCTTTAGAGCATAGCTCTTGCATTCTAAGATGTCAGTGAAGCTCATAATGAAGGAGTAAGTTAAGGAATAGGGGTTTATTTTATTCTTGCTTTATGTTTGCTTGAAGAGTTTGCTGATATCATTAAGTGTCATTAAGATATTGGATTAATCTGTATTCTCACTTCTTTTTTTTTCTGTGAGTGTTCCTCTTTTCAGTAAGTTAGAGAAGTTGTAGGCTAGGTTACCAGCCTGCCACGTTTTGGCCATATTAAGCCACAAGTACAGCCAGAGTACCAGTTGTACTCCAAACATGCTCTTGGTATTTTGTGCAAGCTTGGATCTCTAATCTAGATACTACCTTCGAAGCTGACCTACTAGTGATTTCATCCTACCATTTTATTTATTTATTTATTTCAGTGATTTATATATGGCTACCTATCTCACTTTTGTGACTCTGGGTGGCAAATGTTAATTAAAACATAATAATCAACCCCCTCCCCCAAAGATAAAAATAACCACAACAATGTTAATACAGTGATCCCAGGTTCTCAAAAATGTAACACGCTTCAGCTGTATAACTGGTTCATTTAATATCTTAGCCCAGTGCCAGAGGGAATAACCAAGCGTTTCAGAACACCAGCAGAATTGGGACCATCTGAATCTTAGGGAGGAATGGTGTTCCATGGGCCAGGCACTGTGACAGTAAAGGCACGCCTCCTGGATCCCATTATGTGACACTGCTTCAAAGAAGGAACTCTGTGCCATGTAGGGCTTTACAGGTGACAACCAGCATCTTGAATTCCACATGGAAGACCACTGGAAGCCAGTGCAGCTTCTGAAGCAGGGGTATTATGTGGGCGTACTGTAGTGCACCTGAAACCACTTATGCCGTTACATTCTGAACTAGTTGCAACTTCTAACTGCTCTTCAACGGCAACTCCATGTAGAGCGCATTGCAATAATCCAACCAGAAGGTGGCTGAGGCATGAATAACCTTGAGCAGGGCTTTTAGATCCAGGAATAGTATAGTTGGTACCCCAGATGGATTTGTGCAAAAGCCTTCCTAGCCACAGTTGCCAGCTGCTCCTTGAGTGGGAGCTGTCAGTCCAAGAGGAGTCCCAAATTGTTCACCAACTCTGGGGGAGTCCTAACCCATTCAGAGATAAAGATGATCTGGATTTAGTGGGGCTCAGAACCCGTAGTCTTAACAGGGTTTTAACAGGGTTGAGCCACCATCTGTTCTTCCCCATCCAGACCCTCATAGCCTCCAAATCCTAAGAACCTCTGCAGCATCATTACTAGGAGGTAGATGTAGCATACTGACACATGTATGAAACTATAGCTAGTTTTAGCTATTTTTCCTCTTTCTTATCTCTTTTAATTTCTTTTGCCTGTTCGTATTTCTCTCCTGCACTTCATTAGCACTGCTTACCCCCAAATACATGGTACATGTGTATAATTGTTCTATGGTAGAATGCAGAGATATATTACTGCTTTTTAAAAATCTAATATCCTAAAAAAACTGGGGACTCAATAAATGTTTATAAGGATCATGAGGTACATCTGTATCTAAATATTTCTGTTTCTCCTCTCGCTCTGAGGCATTATACTGTGGGTCAGTGTTTTTGATTCCATAACTTTGGGAGCCCTTTCCAATTCTTTGGTGAAGAAATCTATAAAACTCTGTATCTTTACACAGAGAAATAGAACAGGTGACTGGTAATAATAGATCAATGGCCTTTCAGGCAGAATGTCTACTGTTAGCTTTCATCAAGGAGTCCTTAATAAGCCATTGAGGAAAGAACACAGTATAGTTCTTTGGTCATAATGCCAAGACGTATTTTTGTGTTACTAGAATGCATTTTAGCTTTGACACACTCCAGTAGAGGTGTTTGGAAGTTTTCACTCTTTTTAAAGAAGAATTATACAGTAATGAATTGTAGTTTCCATGTTATCTGAATCTGACAAACTAGGGGGAAGTTAGAAATTAAATACTCATCTATACTATTTTTAGCAGTGTTTTTCTTTTCTTGTTTTAAATATTTATAATAATATAGTGGAGATTTGGCATTAAGCTAAAAAATCTATACTTTCTTTATATAATAAAAACAATTCAATGTACTTTGCTTGGCATTGTTTATCTTTTATTAAGGTTATATTGAGCATTAATTATACATTCTCTGTCCACTTATTGATATTATCGTTTCTGAAAATACATCTTTGTTTTAAATAAATAAAAAGAAATATGAAAGAAAAAAAACAAAGTATAATTAATCTTCGCTAAAGAGCATGGGAAAAACCATCTTCAAACTGGTTTATGAAGCAGTCTTGTTTCCACTAATTTCAGGTCAGAGCTCTTTGAATTCAACTGATGTTAATCTAAAATGGAGACAGAAGCTTCCAATCTCTTCTTCACAGCAGTGTAGAAAGAGGCAGAGAAAGAGCTCAGGGCTAGTTGTGGCTTAATATTACATCCAAGCTGGGCTGTTAGGGAAGCACTGCCAGGTAGTATGTGAGGAGTGGCTGCGGGCAAGGCAACTACTGTCATCACAGAAAAAACCTGTGTATTTTATTGGATACACGTATTATTTGCTTTTCAACAAGATGCCAGGCTAATGTTTGTATGTCATAACAATTGAAACAGAAAAAAAAGTAAACTTTGGATGTAACCTATCGGTTAAATGGATGGAAGAACATTTTTCACCTTTGGTGAAATCCTAGCACTTAGCTGCCAGGGCTTGCTTTTGAATTCAGGCAAGACATTTCTGAAACAGGGAACTCCGGCAGTAAAAATTGTGCTGTGTTTTGCTGCAGCTATAATCTGAAACAGAGTTGAAATAGTTAGCAGGACCTAACAGTTTGGAAGTTGTCCTTCTCTTCAGTCAATTTTGTTTCCCCACTCTTCCCTCCTGTGCAAGTGCAGTTAACCCTTCCCGTTATCTCATCTCCATCCTGTTCTTGTTTTCTTTTTTTGCTGTTTCTTCTAGAAATGGGGTATATTATTTTACAAGCAATTAATTTTAATAGTTGTAAGTTCAATTAATTTAATTTTCCCCCTAGCTTTGCTGTTTTTGTTGTGTGGTTTGGAGGTGGTATATATACATAGGGACAAGCATATATGAACTCCCATTATACAGATGAGTCACATCAGGCAAGAGAAAAGCTCCAGAGTTAGATATGGCTGGAAGTGCCAATCCTAGGTTGGTAAGGTGGCTGAAGTAGGCACTGCAGAGGAATTCTGTGTTTTTTGTGTTTTTTTTTTTAAATCACCTTTTATAGGATGGGGATATCATCTTAAATTCAGAGTAGTCCTCCCTTCTAGTAAATATGGAAGTAAGCCCTACTAAAGGGACTGGGATTTACTTCCAAGTAATATGCACAGGGCCAGAATATTTTAAAGCAGAATGATGTTTTTGTACAGGATATACATTTCATTAGGAGAGCTCTTCAGTCCTTCAGGTTCCATATTTCTTAGATTCTACTAGTAGTTTTCTTAAGTGTGGGAAGTATATAAATCTCTATCCAATCCTCAAACAAGAGTCCACAAGAGCTCTTAAAAACCCTTGCCATATTATTTTGAAGAAATCATATACCTACATATCTACCTATCATGCTATCCTGTCTCAGGTAAGCAACATTTTGCAAAGTGTAGAAAAAGGAATAAGAAATAGCAAGCAGAAGAAATTAACTAAGTCTTGGAAGTGCCTTGAAGTGTTTAATTTAGAACTGACAGTTTATATAGAATTCTGTGCCAATATACAGTCAGGTCCAGAAATATTGGGACATCGACACAATTCTAACATCTTTGGCTCT